GAGGTGGCCCCAGTGGGGAGTCTTCAGGGGCCTTCTGGTTATCCCTGCAGAGGCTGTCACTGTCTCTGAGGGCCCCAGGCCGCTGCCCATTAGGGGTTGCCCCAGCCTCTTTTTTCCAACTGGCCCCATATTTCATACCCAGATACTTTCTAGAACTTGCCGTGCCATGTCCAGCCTCCAGACCTTTGTACCTGCAGGTCATTCTGCCTGCAAAGCACATCTTCCTCCTCTTAATCGGGTTAATCCACTCTCCACCAAGTCCCAGCTTAGATGCCGCTTCCTCCAGGAAGTCCTCCCTGGCCACCCAGAGGCCACATGGCTCCTCCACTCCCTTGTATGTGCCTAGCACAGTACAGACCACACCTCCAGACTGGGTCCCCCACTGAATGGGAGCTCCCTGACACTGCGGTGCCCCAGTGCCTAGGATGGGGCCGGGCATTCAATGGGGCTTAGTAAGTGTTCAGTGAGATAAATAAATGGAAAGAAAGAGAGAACTGCCAGGGTCCCTGGACAGAACCGAGAGCTCCCTGCAGCTGGTTAGAGAGCTGCTGATGTGCTCCCCACCTCCAAGGACTGATGGGGAGCTGGGGCCCCGAGAGGGAGAGACACTGGCCCAAGGTCACACAGCAAGTTAGCAGCAGATCAGGGCTCAGACCCAGGGCTGCCTCCCAGGCTCCCACCTCGCCCGCCCCTCTGGGAACTGGGCTGCACCACCCCAGTGTCAACACACAGGCAAAGCGCCCTCTACCCCAACATTGCATGACCCCCCTGTTCATCATCAGAAGGCGGGGGGGAGGGGGGGACTCATGCCTCGCTGTCCCAGGCACCCCAGTGTCCCCAGGCCCCGAATCCACACTGCAAGTCGTCACAGCTCCGAGGCCAGCACTGCATGGCGCTCGAGGTCCAATCCTGAGGGGCAGCCCATCCCCCACTGGCTGGCTGAGTCGGGACACCCCACACAGGCACACCCCCCACTGTGGGCACCCGAGGGAGCTGCTGCCTCATAATAAAGTTCATGCCCAGAAATTTCTTCCCCACCTGGGCCCAGGCCTCAGGTCCCAACAGGCCCGGGCCTCCTCCCTCTCCTCCACGCACTGCCCTCCCTCCCACAGACTTGGAGCCGCCAGGAAGCCTGCTGCTCTGCCCAGAGCCCAGAAGACCTGGTCCTGTCCCGTCCTGTCTCACTATCTCGCTGTCTCGCTGCGAGAGGGACCCTGAGCCAACCCCTTCCCCACAACGACCCCTGACCTCCCTTCCGGTGTAATAGGTGGTGTAGCCTAGGCCAGGGTCCCTCCACCCAGCACCGCTGACGTTTGGGCCTGGGTGGCGGGGCCTGTCCTGCGTGTTGTGGGGTGTCAGCAGCATCCTGGCCTCCACCTGCTAGATGCCAGGAGCACCCCTCCCTCAAGTCGTGACAACCAAACGAGGCCCTCGACATTGCCAAAGGTCCCCAGGCAGCAGAACCTCGAACTAGCTGGTCTCTGGGGACCCCCACAGGCTTGGGGGTGCCGACCGCAAGTGACCGCCTTTGCCGTGGTCTGTGATTCCGAATAACAGCCACCATCAGGCACCTATGAGAGTGGGGCTCAGGCCGACGTGCTTGCCAGGCACAATCCACCGAACTGTCCCCCAGCCCAGCAGGCGAGGACCACTGTGCCTATTGTACAGATGGGGAAACTGAGGCTGAGGACAGTTAAGACCCTCATGGCCCAGGGCCTTCACACGGCATTTCCTCCGCTCGGCCCACTCTTTCCCTCCTCCTCGCCGCTGACTCCTGAGAAGCCCAGGATGGAGATGAAACAAGAGAGCCCCAGATCCGACAGCTGCATTCTCACACTTCTTGGAAAGGGAAAGGGAAAGGAAATCTGCTTTTCACAACACGAAGCCGCTTACAAAGCAGCCCCAACGCTGGGCTTCCTCCCCGGGGCCTCCCACCGCCTTCTGTTCCCGCTGCGCCAGCCGGTGTCTCCCAGGGGACTCCAGGCACTTCGTGTCCCTCCGTCCCTGCTGCCCTCAGAGCCCAGCACTGGCTTGGCACATAGTAGGTGCTCAGCAAAGATTTCCTGAACAAACCACCCAACAAACAAATGATGGACTAAATGAATGAATGAACAAATGAAAGACAGTGAATGCACGAGCGAACGGACACTCTCCATGACACCCGGGTCCGATTCCGGCTCAGCTCCTCGTTCTCTGGGGGCCCTGAGGAGGCCCCGGCGCTGCCACGGCCTCGGTTCCCCATCGGCCCGGCCTGCCAGGACTTTCTGGAACTCACGGCCCTGTCCCCACAGAACACTGTTCTCTGGGACCCGTCTTGCTCCGAGCCCGCCCCGCCCTCCATGCCAATCGCCCCGGTGCCGAGGTTCTGCCGTGCAGCTGTGCTCTCCGCAGCGGAGCGGTGGGGACTGAATAGATGGCCGGGTTCGTGAGAGCCGGACCCCAGCTGCCATCGGCCACGCACAGCGGGGACTGCAGCATCCCGGCCCCGGACCGCTGTATTCTCTCTCCAAACAGCTCCCTCCCCCTGGCAGGCCCCCCAGCGCTGCCTGGAGCCCTGACTCCAGAGGACCCTGGAGGAGGGTTCCAAACACACCCAGGGGGTGGTGCCGCCTCCTTTCTCCTCTCCCATCCGCGCACCCTGCCTGTGGCTTTGTGGGGTTTCCCACAGCAAGAGTCAGCAGGTCTGAGCCCTCATAGCCTGGAGGAGGAGCGAGCTGGACCCAGACTCCACACACACACACACACACACAGCAGTGTGACCGGGGCACGTGTCTCCGCCCCTCTGAGCCTCAGTTTCTTCATCTGTGAAATGGGGCTTCCCCTAGACCTGGGGTGAGGATCATCTGGCCCGTGGGCTGTGTAAGGCCTGCGGAATCCTTTGGTCTGGCCCTGCCAAGGCCTTAGGGTGAGTTAATGAAATGTTTGACCAAATAGAGCAGGCTGATTTTTAAGCTGATCATTTTGCATGGCCCGCGAACGATGTTGTAAACACCCGAATGTCCGTTGGCAGGGAAAAGGTTCCCACCCCGGCTGACCTTTCTGGCCGCATTGATTTCAGCATCAGCACAGTGCCCGGCCCACAGGGGGCGCCGGAGGCTGTGAACTGTGAGCACGGCCCAGGAGGACAGCTGGCCCTGCTGAGGCGGCTGCAGGATTCCTCCTGCTCCAGCCACTAGTTCTGTGGCAGTACTGCCAGCTATTTGGCTACTATAAAGGTAACAACAGCATTATATAAACACTGGAAAACAGAAAATATAAGAGGAAAAAACTACTAAATGTCGGCATAGAGCAAAACGATCCTGTCTGGTGCCGGAGACACAGGCCCCGTGGTCAGTGCTGACCTCTCAGAGGAGGTGACATGAGGGTGGAGATGCCAAGATCTGGGGGCAGAGGGAACAGCAGAGGGAACAGCAGGTTGCAGCTCTGAGGTAGGAAGGAGCTCAGCGTGGGTGAGGATGCCATTGTGGCTGGTGCCTGGGGAGCAGGGGAGAGGGTGCAGGCATAGAACCGGGGAGCCCTGAGGGCCAGAGGGAGGCACGGGTTCAACTCTCTCCTAGCCCTGAAGGCACCACCATAATGAACTGAAGGACAGTGACTAGAGGTCCATGGAACTTTCTGGCAAAGAAAAGATCATCTCTCTTCTGTATAAGCTCTTTAGAGAGTTCCCCTGCGGCAGGACTGGGTGTCACGAGGCCTAGGGTGCCAGTTTTACTGAGGGAGCCTCGACAACTGCTCCCGACAGGCCCCCCTCAAACACGCCAGGCCTGTCCCACCCCCGAGCCCCTGTCCCGGCTGCTCCCTGTGCCGGGAACACACTCTCCCATGGCCGAGTCCTCGCCCGGATGTAGCTCACATGTTAGCTTCATGAACGAACGACAGTCACCCCACCTGCATGGGCCTCAGTTTCCCCCCCTGCATAGTGAGGAGGGGCCCTCGATCTCAGGACTGCTCCAAACATTTTAGATAAATGAGCTCACTTATTCCTCACAATATTCCATTAACGTCTGACTATTATTACCTTCACTTTTCAGTTGGGGAAACCGAGGCACCGAGAGATCCCGTAACTTGTCCAAGGCCACTCAGCCAGGATGTGGGGGCTCAGGACCAGGACTCTGCAGCCCACCTGGCCACTGTGCTCCCTGCCTCTCCTGGGGGAGGCCCAGGTGTGAGCAGGGGAGGGCGCAGGGGGCTCAGGTGGGCCCTACACCTGCGACTCAGAGGCCTCATCTAGGAAACGCCACGATGGGGCGGGTGGCCGTGAGGATGAAAGGAACAAGGACGCATCTCTAGCCTCAGCTCCCGGTCTGAACAGCGGAGGGAAGACCGCTGGCCCTGTCTGTCCTCTCGTGGGCACCGTGCTACGACCTTACAGGAAATGTCCCCCCAGTGCATCACCATTCCCGTCATACACACGGGGGAACCGAGGCTCGCGAGTTGGATCCTTTAAGGTCCCTAGGATAGGAAAGCACGGCCGGGCCCTAGAGTCCATTCCTAAACCACCAAACTTTACTAGGTTTGCAAACTCAGGCACCATTCCCGTCATACACACGGGGGAACCGAGGCTCGGGAGTTGGACCCTTCAAGGTCCCTAGGATAGGAAAGCACAGCCGGGCCCTGGAGTCCATTCCTAAACCACCAAACTTTACTAGAAGGTTTGCAAACTCAGCGAGCTAACCTCCTTGCTCTCCTAACCATGCCCCCAACTCAGGCTCACCCTGTCTGCTCCACATCCCACAATGACTGAAAACATGCCACTCTCCTCTGCCCGGCCCAGGGCAGGCATCACTAATCCACGACAGAGCTCATCAATCGCTCACTTCCGTTTGCTCCATGACATACAGCCTCGGCCAGGCGGCACTGCAGGCAGCCACTGCGGATTGATTAGAGCTGACATCCGAGAGGAAGCCTGTTGGCCACCCTTGACCCCACCTAATCAATCACCTTGCAGAAGGGACAGCTGAAGCCAGAAAAGGGAAGAGGCTTCTCACGGCTACAGGATGAGACAGTCACGAAGCTGGGCCTGGGACCCTGAGCCCTCACTGGTTTCTGGTCCCGACCGCTCTTCTTGGTGAGCAGGGCCTGAGTTAAGCCTTCATGGCCCCGTGGTCCTTGCAGATGTCACACAAGGCACGGCGTCACCAACACCCATCCCCACGCCCCCAGCTGGTTTGGGCCCATGTCAGTCTGCCGTGGGCAAAGGCTGCCTGGACTGGTTTGTGGGTGAGCCGCCCCCAGAGGCCCCTCCATGTGCCCCCATCCTGGGCAACGGGACTGCTGTCCCCGATACCCCACCCCCACCCCCACCACATTTTGGGGAAGAGCAGCTACTCACCACTGCTGGACCTCCTTCTCGGTGACTGCAAGAGAAACAGAGAAGGAGCCGTTTAGTTCAGGGAGGTGCCCAGGGGATGGGCAGGCGCTGGGAGCCCCCTTCCTGCCCTCCCACCCCGCCCCGCCCCACAGTCTGTCTGCCCGTGTCGGGGCACCGCGGGCTCTGACCGAGGACACGCCCCGGGAACAGACCCAGTCAGGAGCTCTGTGTCTGACCGCACAGCAGGGGCCAGCACTGGCCCAGTCCCCCTGGGCTGCTGGCAGGACGGCCAAGAACAGCCTCTTAGACCAGGGGTGGCTTCTCCCTGCCCTCCTGGGGTGCCGTGCCCGGGTGAACATGTAACATACATTCTTCCCACGGGGTGAACATGTAACATACATTCTTCCCACGGGGTGAACATGTAACATACATTCTTCCCACGGGGTGGACATGTAACATACATTCTTCCCACCGGGTGAACATGTAACATACATTCTTCCCACCGGGTGAACATGTAACATACATTCTTCCCACGGGGTGGACATCTAATACACATTCTTCCCATCTCTCAATCCCGGGGGCAGCACAGTCAGAGAAGGTGCTGGCTTCCCCAGGCACTCGGCTGCCCCGCCTGCATGGGGGGGGGACAACAGAGAGGCTGAGCCCCCCCCACTCAGCCCAGCAGCGCCCAACACCTGCCCCCGCGGCCCGTCCCTGCCGCCCCTCGCCGTGGTCAGCCCCGAGTCCTTCCACAGCGAGATGAGAACGGCGCCGTGAACCGAAAGCTGCAACGAGCCAAATCAAGTGGCCGAACCTCCCGCCGGGCCCAAATAGTCATTCTTTACTGAACCGTGAAACAAACAAAAGAAATGTTTTTTCTGGAAAGTACTGAATCGGTTCGCGTTGGAACCAAACCAACGTTCTCTGTAAAATCACCGAATGAGAAGATCTAACCACTTTCCGAGAGGCTGACCCCGGGAGAGCCGCGCCGGCTCCCGGCCTCCGTTTCCTCGTTTGCAAAGTGGGAAGAACAGGGACACATCCCACAGTGACTGCCACAGGAGCCGTCCTGAGAAGTCAACCAAAACAGGTGTGAAAGCTCCCGAATCCCGGCAGAGGGCCTGGGAACGTGCCCCATACAGGCTGTGGAATGAATGTGTGAGTGAATGAATTAATGAATGTGTGAATGATTGCATGAATGAGCAAATGAATGAATGAACTGTGAACAAAGGAATAAATGCATGAATGAATGAGTGAACAAGTGGACACATGAGTGAATGAATGAATGCATAAATGAGTGAATGAATGCATGAACTAACGAATGACGGCATGGGCAAATGGACAGGAAGGCAGGTGTTAGGTGGAGGTCGGGTGAGTAAAGAAACTGGAATCCTTCCCAGGGAAGGGGAAGAGGAGGCCCTGGGGGTGTCCCTGACCAGACTGGAGGCCACCTTTCACAAACGGCTTAACGCACGCTTTCAACAAGTGCCAAGGCCCAAGTGCCCACTGCAAGCCCAGGTCCGTGCAGGGTGCCCAGGGCCTTGGTGCTGTGGCTCGGCAGCCCTGATAACAGAAGCGGGAATGAGGGAAGAGAGCATTACTCTGGCCTGGCTCCAAACAGGGAAACTGAGGCACAAAGGGGCCAGCACGTGCCGTGGTAAGGAGAGGGTCTGAACTCAGCCGCCTGACCCACAGCCTGGAAACTTCCACTAGGCCCCTCCTCATCAGCACGCCCCTCCCACAAGCACAGTCAGAGACGGAGGCCTGGCCACCAGGAGGCCACTGATACAGGGAGAGTCAGGCAATGACGGGAGATGCTGGTGGCCTGGAATGGCAGACCTGGTTAAAAAAAAAAAAGCAATTTTCCAAGAAAGTTTTGGCAGAGGATAGGGGCTGGGAAGGGGGTCAGGCAGAGAGGGAAGGCGCCCCTGTTCTAACAGGGCTGGACTGCCGCCCACACCCGGCAGTGAAGGGCAGCAGGGCTGAGGGACTAAGGCTCAAAAGAGACAGAAGAGACTCATCACAGCACAGCCAGGAGCTTAGGGGCCTGGACTCTGGAGTCAGACTAGACCATCTGGGTTCAAATCCACCTCCACAACTTTTGAGCTGTGTGTCCTTGGACAAAGTACTTCCCCTCTCTGAGCCTCAGTTTCCTCATCTGTAGAATGGGCATATTGTAAAGAGTAAACTGCTTGGTGCTCTTCACCTGCACAAAAGGTATGATCCCATTTTCCTGATAAGGAGACTGAGGTTCAGATGGGTCAGCTAACTTGCCTGAAGTCACCCAGGGTCACCCGGCCAGGAAATGACAGGGCCAGGACTAGGCCTCCAGAGCCCAGCATGGATGCCCAATTAAGTGCCCCCCTCCAACTTGAGTCAGCCAGTGATCGTGTGACCTTGTGTGACCTTGGCATCATGTGGCATAAACATCAGGAGCTGGGTGACAAGGGCTTGGGTGGTGCGGCCTCCCAGGGGCAGAGAAAGCTTCCCAGGAATCGCCCAGCTCAGAAGTCCTCCCGGTCCCCTGACCCCACACCGTCACCCAGCAGCCTTCCCTCCTCCCCCAGGGGACATGGTTGGCACCAGGGCAGAGCGGGAAGGTGTCCCTGGTCTAAAGGTGGGGACCTCCGTAGTTGAGGGATACGCAGCCGCTCACTGCACTGTTATTTCAATGTTTCTCTTGATTTTTCCCAATGAAAAGTGGGGAAGAGATGTTTGTTCTCATCAGCACACAACCCGTGTGCCCCCATCCCCAGCACCAGAAGGGCCGGGGTCCTGTCCAGGGTGCTGACCCTGAGCAACGCCGACCGCCACAGGCACTGGGAAGGAAGAGGGGTCCAGGGACAATGATGGGGTCCCTCTGCCTCCCTCCTCCATCCAGACTCCCAGGCTCAGGCTCCCCAGCTAAACCTCACTGCCCCCCCCCTCCCCGCACCCAAGTCTCCATCCATGTGTGAAATTAACAGGCAGCATTTGCCCTGGGCGGTCCATGCTCAAGGCTCAGGGTTCAGGGCACAGGGCCGGGCGGAAAGGCAGGCCATCCCCAGGGCAGCCAGCGCCCACCCATGTCCCCTGACCACCCCCAACCCTGCAACCCCTCAAGCTCCACTAACGATCCCACCTCCAGGCCTTGGTACCTGCTGTTCCCTCTGCAGCTACGCGGCACCCAGTCCCCGCTCGGCGTCCCTTTCCCAGGAAGCCCTCCTGACCCTATGGCCCCTCTGAAGCCCGTCACGCTTGGGAATCACTGAATTACATAGAGTCTGTCTTCCCATAGGCCCACCGCGGGGGTCAGACAGGGCACTGCCTGGGGGTTGGGTGCGTGAGGTGGGGAGGGGACAGGGGTAAACAGAGCGGTCCACAGGGCTGGCTGCGGCCTTGGGTACCGACCCACAGGGCTGAGCCTTCCTTGGTTTGTTCATCTGCGAACGGACAAACCGCCTCTGCATCACAGGAGGGTGCACTGTGGCTGCGGCCTTGGGTACCGACCCACAGGGCTGAGCCGTGGTTTGTTCATCTGCAAACGAACAAACCGCCTCTGCATCACAGGAGGGTGCGCTAAAGTGCGTGCACGACGTCTGGCACCGAGTAGGTCCTCATTAGAAGCACTTTTTGCCCTCATCGTCCCAGCTGGACGCTAAGCCCCAGAGGCCGAGCCACTCCCGGCAGGTCCTAGCGTCACCCTCGGAGCCGGGCCAGCGTCCTGCTCTCAGGAGGCAGAGAGCAAAGCCTTGTTGACCCCCACCCCGTCACCAAGCTACCAGCCAGGCTGGGCCACACCCTAACACCCGCGTCTCACAACACGATCACCCTCAGTTACGACGGGCTCTGGCCAATTTCAAACACGAGCTGCCTTTCTCTGCACCCTCCGGCCTCCGGCCAGGCCCTGAGCTCATTAGGAAACTGGGATTTAAACCGGATGTGGGCCATCCTCTAGTGGACGGGCCCCGCTCCACGTGGCAGCACCGTGGGAGGCTCGGGGTGGGCATCCTGTCTTGGCTATTTGTAGGCTGGGTGACTCTGAACAAGTTGCTTAACCTCTCTGAGCCTCAGAGTCCTCATCTGAAGGATGGGGTATGAACTCCTACCAGGCAGGGCAATGGGAGGGGCTCTGGAGAGGTGGAGAGACAATTCCCAGCTGGGAGCGGGCACAGAGCCCGGAGGAGCGAGGGCTGGGCATCCATCCACCCCCTCCCACTGACTTCCAGAGAACCAGGGCCTGCTGCCCGGCCCGCGCCCCCAGTGCCCACCCCGGAGCCCCTGAGGCCCATGCCCGCTCCTCCTCCTCCCCCGCAGCCCGTCTGCCAGGAAGGAGCACGGAGCTCAGGATAAACGTGGAGTCTGCTTTTGATTTCCCCGGAGCAAAGCAGCTCTCTCCTGAGTGACGCTCAGCTCAAACTCGGGGAACAGACAGCAGGGCTGGTGCCCCCACAGAGGGGCTGGTTGCCGGGGACCCAGGGCAGACTTCGAGCACTTTCCGCCGCTTCAGCCTCCCTCCTGTGGCCACGCCAGACCCTGTTCCCATCTCTAGGGACAAAGACTACATCCAGGGTCAAGCATCGTCATGTACCCCCCAACCCCCATCACAGCTCCAGGTCAGCACGGGGGCTCGGGTCCGATTAACAGAGAGAGAGGAGTGGCCACTTGGGCCCGGCCACCAGCAGCCCCGTCACTAACTCCCTCAGTCTGAACACCTCTGACCACGGACTGTCCCCCTTCCACGAGGGCAGGGCCCCTCGGACACTGCTCCCCCGGCCCCAGGCCTCTTTGCTCAAACTCCCAATACTGGGGTCCTTGAGTCTCCGCACGTGCACCCTGTACCCCTCCGCCCCAGGCTCCTCTCAGATGGCCCAGGGTTCCCCGCACTCCACATGCCCAAAGCGACGCCCTCCCCAGACCAGCCCTCCTCCTCCTGGGCCCCCCTCCTGTGGACACCCCTCTCCCTGCCCCACCAGACAGTCCCACCGGCCTGGCTGCCTGGGAAACACCCCCCTGTCCAGGGTGCTGCCAGCCACACCCTGACCACACCCCAGCCTCCCACCTGCATCTCCCCCTCCCACCTCTTCCCCTCCCAGCAGCTGCCAGCACCCTAGTTTAGTCATGTCCCTGCTCTTGTAGCCAAGCTGCTTCAGAGGGAGGGGCCCTGCGGTGGGCCCCGAGGCACCCTCCGCCCCAAGCCGCCTGCCCCTCCTTCCACCCCAGCCCCAGTTGCCCCCCCCCCCCCCCCCCG